TATAATTTTAAGACTGCCATGTCTTCTTGCTCAATTGACTTTTTTAAAAATAATTTTTTTTACTATTAATTTCAATGAAAATTTACAGATACTTTGGATCTCCATTCACTCATTGTTGCACTTCTCTCCCCTCCCAACCCTCCTTGCTACTATACTACCCTCTTTGAAAAGTAAAAGAAAAATTCTCTCATTGTTTTACAATCCCTCCCGCCAGGTCCACTCCACTATGCAGCCTTCGCTCTGGACTCCCATCATGACAAAAATACCTAATCACATATCCCTTTTAAACAGTTTTCTCCCTCATCTGTTTCAATGCAGTATACAGTATTGAACCCATCTTTCTCAGTCTCCCCGTAACCTTGATGTCAGTCCTGTTTTTACAACAGTGGCACCATGTAGTATTTGTCCTTTTATGACTGAGATATTTCACTCAGCATAATGTCCTCCAGGCCCACCCATTTTTAATAATATTGCTTGAGTTCCTTGTTTTTCAATGTAGCGGTAGTAGTATTCCATTGTGTGAATGAATATACCACAGCTTCTCTATCCATTCCTTTGTTGATGGGCACTTAGGTTGTTTCCAATTGTGAACAAAGCCGTGATAAACATGGGTGTTCATATATCTGCTTGGGTGTCAGTTATGGTCTTTTTGAGGTATATTCCCAGGAGTGGAATTGCTGGGTCAAATAGTATTTCTATTTGCAGCCTTTTGAGAAAGCGCCATACTGCCTTCCAGAGTGGCTGTACCATTTTACACTCCCACCAACAGTGGGAGTTTATCCACAACCTCACCAGCATTTGTTGCTTGCTGTTCTGTTAAATTTTGCTATTCTTACTGGTGTGAGATGATATCTCATAGCTGTTTTGAAGGTTGGTTTTGTTTTGTTTTTTTAAAAAAATGTATTTCTTGTATCGTTTAAGATTTTGCCCATAGCATCTTTCATTCTTGCAATTTGAAAGGGATCATTTAAGAGTGAAAGAAATATGTTAAAACTTATTTGTGATGGTGGCATACCTTTGCAAAGTTACTGAAAATTTTGTCCACTTATAGTGGCGAAGCATATGAGAAACCTATACTTGGACCAAGAGGCAGTCATAAGAACGGAGCAAGGAAACACTGCATGGTTCAAAATTGGGAAGGATGTACACCAGGGATGTGTCCTTTCTCCATATCTTTTTAATGTATATGCAGAACAGATTATCCGGGAGGCTGGGCTCTATGAGGAGAAATGTGGGGTCAAGATTGGTGGAAGATCTATCAACAGTCTGCATTATGCAAATGACACAACTCTGCTTGCTGAAACTGAGGAGGACCTGAAGTGCTTGCTGCAGAGTGTCAAGGACTGCAGGCTTCAATATGGATTGAGGCTCAATGTCAAGAAGACAAAGATTCTCACCACTGGACCAATTGGCAGCATCAGGATGGATGGTGAAGAGATTGAGATTGTTCACAGCTTTAGTTTACTTGGCTCCACAGTCAACACTCTCGGCACCAGTAGCCAGGAAATTAAAAGATGTATTGTGATGGGAAAGTCTGCTGTTAGGAACCTCTCCAAAGTATTGAAGAGCAATGGTGTCTCTTTGGAGACTAGGGTGATTCTGATACAGGCCATGGTCTTTACTATCACTTGTTATGCATCAGAGAGTTGGGAGGATAGGAGAATTGATGCTTCTGAGCTGTGGTGCTGGAGAAGAGTATTGGGGGTACCATGGACTGCTAGGAAAACAAACAGATTCATCCTATAAACAGTTAAACTAGGCTGCTCTTTGGAGGCAAGGATTCTAAGGCTCTGTCTAACATACTTTGAACATGTTGTAAGGAGAGACTGGTCCTTGGAGGGGGACATCATGCTTGGTAGGGTGGAGGGACAGCACAGGAGGGGCAGGCCCTCTATGAGGTGGATTGATTCAGTGACTGGGGTAATCGGGATGGGTGTATCGGAGACAGTGAGACTGGCACAGGACAGAGCAGAGTTTAGGGCTGCTGTACATAGGGTCGCTATGAGTCACAAGCAACTGAACGGCACATAACAATAACAACAATAGTGTCGAGCGGCTGTTATGGACTGTAAACTTCAGTGATGTTTATAGAAACTGAGTAGAGGAAGCACAGGCTCTGGGTAGACTGCAGGCAGGCCACTCCTGGAGGGCGGGGTCAGGGAGGTTGACGGGATGGTCATATCTGAACTGGTGGTCAGTAATACAGCCCCAGGTCCACACAGACACTCAAAATAAGATATCCGTCCAAAATAAGGAAAAAGTAAGGAAAAACTGCTACCTACAGTAAAGTAGTGACAATCCTTGGGCAGGGGGTGTGGGGGGGGGATATGTGCAGAAGCACACCTGTGGCCTGCCCACCCTGCCTCTCCTCACCTTGATCTGGCCTCTGGTCTCTAGGTACGGCTCTTCCCACCCTGCTCCTGAGAGAGAAGTGTGGAGACCACTCCCATCACTCCCGGTATCTAAAGGGGTAGCCATCTTAGAAGAAAGGCATGACTCTGGCCACTGTGGCCCTGGGAGTTGGTTTATAATCCTCTCTGAGTCTGGGTGCCTCCTGAGCCTGAGAGCCTCTAGTACAGTGTCTCATCTCATCTTTATGCCCTTCCCGCAGTGGAGATTATACTACTCACTGTATAGATGGAGAAATGGTGGTTCAGAAAGGCTGAGCATCTTGCCTAAGGTCACACAGCACAAGCAGCAGAAGGCAGGGGCTCAGGACCATGTCCGGTTGACTCATGCTAGGCTCACTGGGCCACACTTCCTCCCCTAGTGCAGCTTCCACTCACCTCCCCCAACCCCGCTACACCTGACCAATCTGTTTCACATCCGGCCTACTCCAGTTGTTAGCTCTCTCCACTCATGAAGCCTAACACATACTGTTGGGTTTGCCTTTTCTCCTGGGATTTTATGATGAGATGAGGATAAAGAACTTGGAGACTTTTTATTAAATCATTTATAATGTTCTTGTTAGATGCCATCAAATGGAATAAGTAAAGTCTTATAGTGACCCTATAAACAACAGATCTGAACCTTGTCCTATCCAGTTCCATCCTTACCATCTCTGATTTGCTTGAGTCCAGTGTTAGTCTTACGTCACTGCATCTTGATAAGGGTCTTCATATTTACTGTTGAATTCCTTATTGCTCAGCAGTCCTTATGTGCGGTTGGGCAGAATAGAGTTCTCCCAGTATTTTGTGCTAAGAAGAGGGCTCATCTTCTGATGCTGGGGGATTCCTCTGTGTCATAACTGGAGAGGGATATGTCGTGTAACTGACAGGATCCTTTTTTCTTCACTGGGCTCCAAAGGGCAAACCCAGCTTTTGCAACCTAGTCTTAATGTTTTATGTTCTTTTCCTTCCCTACCTGGGCACATTTAAGTGAAACTGTGAGGGTCTAAACAACGTAGTAAACAAGGCCGCTTTGTCCCCACTGTTTTGCTCCTAGACATTCTTCCTATGCTACCCTGTACTGCAGCTCACCTCCCTTTCCTCCTGATTCTGCCAGGTTGCCCTCCACAGAATCCTGTTGGCATGTCACAGAGTCACCTTGTGAGAGTCAAAACTGGGTGAACCAAGCACCTGAGAGGGAAATTCAGCCATCACCTATGAAAGCAAGAGACTGAAGAGTGGCAAGATGGCACCTGGGCAGACATGTCAAAGCAGATGACGTGCAGGACACAGAACACAGGCAGGCCCCTTGGCTTTCAGTCTCACAGGTTCACTGGAAGGCAAAGTGGCTTAAGTGGCACAAAGAGGCCTCAGGTGGCATCTTGTAGTTTGTTTCAAGGGGCAAAGCTGCAGGCACCTCTGTTAGTTATGAGTAACTTTTGCAGGGAGAGATCAGTATTTTTCCAAGAAGACATGTGGGTCTAGCCAGTCAAGGGTAGTTTGTGTGTGAGTGTGTCTATGTGAGCGTGGTCTGGTGTGTGTGTGTGTGTGTGTGTGTGTGTGTGTGAGCGTGTACACATGCTCAGCTGCAGTGCCTGGTGCTTACATCTCAGAGAACCACCACTAAGTGTTCACTCATTGACAAAGAGCATGTATACATGTTACATTCTCTTTTAGGCATAAAAATGGGGAAAAAAATTCAAGTGTTGTGCTTTTGAGTTGTGTTCCTTTGATTCTTTAACAACTTTATTGATATAATTTACATATAAAGTTTGCTTATTTAAAGTGTATTATTTAGTGCTTTTTTAAAAGAATATAGGTAGTCCCAATTTATGATGTATTTGGGCTACAGCAAATCACCCTAATTGGCTATATCTTTTTTGTTTCCTTTTTTTATCATCAGTAGTAATGTTGCAATGTGAAATCTGATGTTATGCTTAAATGTTCACTTGAAATCTCATGATTTAACTGTTCAAAATTTTGCTAGTGTTATAAAGATACTAATAATAGAAGACAAGTAATAATGAAAATGAGAGGGAAATATTTGACTTAATGTCAGTACTAACTTGTGCAGAAGTTGGAATGGGGTCCTGTCCTAAGCTGGGGTGACCTATATTCAAAGGTTGTATTACCATCATCACAATTTCAGAATAAAAAGGCCCACAATCCATCACAAGCTATTGGCATTCTCCTTCCCTGAGTCCAGCCATCTGCCTCTATAGCTTATTTGCTCGGGATGGTGTCTCACAGAAATGGCTTTTGTGACTGGCTGCTTCATTGTTAGATGCTTCAAGGCACACCTCAGAATGTGGTTCATGATGGCCATGTGGCACTGGTTGTCTGATGCATGTTGTTTGGCATTAGTTGTTCTATTTTGGGGGTGTTTCTACTTTGGGGTAGTTATGAACAATGCTGCTCTGAATGTTCATGGGTGAGTTTTAATGTGGCTACATCCTCAGTTGAGTTTTATCATGTGACAATGATGGCTCTGTCCCTAACTAGACTGAGTGGTCATGGTCAAACAGTTTCCCTCTGCCTCCACACAGTGCTGCAGGAGTGACTGCTGAATGAATGAAGAAAGATCAAAGGGTTCAAGGAGACAGGAGAACTCACCCTTCTGGGGCAGCAATGCTGTGAACTGGCACATTCTTTTCTTGGGTGTTTGCTTCCTGGTTGGCTTGGCAGTGGTGGGAAGAATATCAACTTCAGAAAGAAAAAAAAAGACACCCATCTTAGGTAAACATTGAGTAGACTTAAAAAGAAAACTGCAAGCCTCGTATAACATGTTGTTGTTGTTAGGAGCCACTGAGTCAACAACAATCCATAGCGACCCTATCAACAACAGATCTGCACTCTGTTCTGTCTTGTACCATGCTCATCATATCTGATTTTCTCCAGTTACTGCATCATTAATGACTGTTTCCTGGAATGCTGAAGGGTTAATAACCACGGAGAAATATTTTTTTAATCTTTCCCAATTCGGAAATGCATCTGAAAGTGTAGCAAGAGGGGCCTGCTTAGTGTCCTAGAGGGGGAGGGATCTCACTGTAGAACATTAAGCATTTATCAGCTTTTGTGTGACTGCAGGCAAGCCACATGACCTCTCTGCCTCAGTTTCCACACACACTAAATGAAAGGTGCCCCACGTCCTTGTCAAGACTATTTTAAGTTCCAGAGTACCATGTACATTTGGTGCACTCCGACTGAGCCTGGGCTTGAAGCCAAGCTGCCCAATTTTCAGAACAGTCAAGTCCCAGCCTTCCCTGTTGTCTCTAGGAAGGGTGAGGAAGCTCCCAGAAAGCCAATTTATTTAATCCAATCACTTCTAGAGTAGCACTGTTCTTGTTATGTGCCATCGAGTCAATAACAATTTATAGTAACCCCATGAACAACAGGTTCATAGGGTAAACCTTGGCCTGAACCATTCCCACCATCTCTGATATACGCAAGCCCATTGCTATAGTCACGATGTCAATCCACGTTGGTAAGGGCCTTCCCCTCTCTCTCTGACCCACTGCCTTTCCCAGAATGGTGTCTTTCTAAGGACCATCCTCTCCCAACATACCCAAAATATGTGAGATAAAGTTTCACCATTATTATCATCCTCATTTTATCCCTAGAAAGCTTAGACTCAAAAACCTGAAACAACTTGCCCAAAGTTAAAGATACTAAAAATGTAGCCCTTGCTGCCAAGTTGGTCTCCTGTCTCGTGCTGGCCTGTGTGTGTCAGAGAAGAACCAAGCTCCACAGTGTTTTCAGGGATGACCTTTCAGAAGCAGATAACTGCACCTTTTTTTCAAGGCTCCACAGGGTAGACTTGAACTTCCAGCCTTTCAATGAGTAGCCAAGCACATTGATCATTTGCACCCAGAGATTCCCACCCATAATTGTTGCTAGTTGCTATCAAGTCATCTGCACGTTGCTCTATCCTGTGCCTTCCTTAATATCTCTGATCTATCCATTGTTACAGTCACTGCATGTGTGTCAACCCATCTTGGTAGGAGGTCTTCCCCTCTGTCTCTGATCCTCTACCTTTCACATCAGGATGTCTTTTCCCAAGGACTGGCCCATCTTGACAGCATGCTCAAAGCATGTGTGATCAAGTTTCACCATTCTTGCCTCCAAGGAGCACTTTGGTTGCACGTCTTCCAAGACCAAGTCATTAATTGGTAGAAGTAGCATTTGAACCCAAAGAGCTTGATTCCAGAACCCATGCTTTCATCTTGACATACGCCCCCTCCCCATGTGAAAAATGTTTTCTGACAAAAAAAAAATAAAGATATCAGGTCAACCCAAAACCTTTGGCTTTCAGGTTGCACAGGTCCGTGACTGTCAGAGGAAAAGCTACGGCATGCCAATGAGTGTGTGAGGAGTGTGGCCCTGTGTTGGGGTGACATGGCACTCAGCTATCCATCTGGTTCTTACAATCCTAAAAGAACATCGCATCTCCACACTTTATGAGGATGCACACAGGGGTGATACCATGGGTCAAAAGTGAGGCTGAAGGACTTATTGTAAAGCCAGTCATGTGGCCTGCATCTCGGAAGAGTCTTCAGAGAAACAGATGTGCTGTCTGAATTTCCTCTTATCCAGGGCAGAGCTTTCATGATTCCTCCTCCTTCTGAACTTCTAGTTCAAGTTGCTGGTCTACTTAAAAGGCAGAGGGCTCTGGTGCTATGGGGTTCACCAGGACCTCTAATGGAGAAAAATGGGCAGTCTCTTTTCATTTTTATTTGCAGCTTCAAAAACTCAACGAGGGGTTGCTGTGAGTAGAAACCAACTTTAAGATAGCAAGGCGAGCTGATTTGAAAGAGATAGATCTTTTACCTCTAGCATGTGCTTAAAAGCTCATTACTGTTGAGTTAGAACCAATCCATAGCTGACTCTCCAGCCAGTTTTTTGACGCAGTAAATCTCATAAGAGGAGACTGCCCATCCTTCTTCTTGGAGCTACAGGTGGATTTGAACCTCTAGAGAGGGCCAGCTTTTGAGTTAGTAGAGCTAACACCCTAGAGACTGTGCTACCACAGCTCCCTTCATGTGCTCAGGGGCAGGAGAGAGGCCCCTTTTCTCCAAATACTCTAGCCACTGTCCAAGCTTCCTTGGTGGGCAGCAGGAGGTAGAGGACCTGGCCCTGGACACCTGACTGCCCACCCTGGGAGTGGAGGTGAAATCATGGTGGCAAGTATGTGCTTTAGGGATAGATTGCCCTTTCAAGGGTATTGGGGAGTTGAGGACTTTTGAAGCCCAGGTAGATGATGGTGGCAGCGGTGAGAAGACTCCCAAAATCAGTTTCACCGTTGACGGTGATTTCAACATCTACCTTTCTTGGAACCTGAAGTCTCACAAGTGGAAAGATGTGGGACTTATAGAGACATAAATAAGCCAAACTGAAAACTCAACCCCTCCAAATGCTATCTTTCAATACAGGGATCAGTCAGCCAAAGGACCTGAGGGACACTGGCTGTCCTCCTGTACCTTGTCTGAGGTGGAGGGTGGGGTGGGGTGGAGAGAGGCACTCTAGTCAACCTCTTCCTCAGTATGTCTTGCCCTACACCACCTCACACTGATTTCTAAGGTTCCCTTGTATCCCCCACCTGAGAAGAGTCAAGCTTGGAGGAACGGGGTCTTTGAGACGTGGCCCCTTCACTCTCGATTGGTGTACTCTGTGCAACATGTGGTCAATCACCAAGCCCTCTTCTAAATTTTGAGATGAGGCCAGCTGCAACCAAGTTAGCTCTGTGTGTGTGTGTGTATTAAAAGTGCCCTGGTTGTGTAGTGCCTAATGTGACAGACTGCTCACTCCAAAAGCAGTAGCTCAAATCTACAGCCACTAGCAGGAGAGAGATGTGTTTTCTCCTCATGAAGGCTTACAGTCTTGGAAGCCCGCGGAGGAGCTGCAGAGTCAGACGCAACTATACAGCAGGAGGTAGGTGGATACATGACAAATACACATCAAAAAATTAGTAGGGAAACAAGAATGGCAAATAAAATGCATTGTTGAAGCTAACTGTGCTTTTAAGACTCACACTGAGTCTCCCAGGGATGTGACTACTGACATGATAACTGGAACCACAGCTTCTCAGGCATGCAGTAGATGCTTAAGGAGTGCAACATCGAGCCTCACACTTACCCACGGTCAGCTGAGTCCCCTTGCCAAAGTCCAGCTCAGGATTTCCAATTGTCATGCAGAAGTATATGCCACTGTCCAAAGGCCTCACTCTCGTAAGGTTGAGCAAATACCTCACACCATTCTGAGAAATGGTCACATCATTCTTCACGCTTGAGCCATACCCCGTGGTTTGCTTCACAGAATCCCAGAAGGCCAGGATCTCGAGACGAGTGCTTGGGCTTGGAGCCTCATGTTGCCTCAGCCAGTACACATGCTTGTTACTAGTGTGGCCCTTCACTTCACAGGACAGGATGGCTGGTTGGTGGGTCTGAACGATCACAGACCTGGGAGTCTGGTGAAGGGCCAAACCATCACAGAGAGCTACAAGAATCCAGAAAAATCAGGAGGCATCAATCAGGTTGTTGTCCTCATACCAGCTGTGGACCTTAGAGTCATGGGATCACCATATAGCGGTGCAAGAACCAGATTGCCGAGGTTCAAGAATTTACATGCAGTTGGTGGCTTCTGGCCTCAAACATAAACATTTCCCCATCAAGAGATCATCTGGATGGCAGAACTTTCTGTGACTACCTTTATGAAGGGAACAGGGAGAAAGCTGCCTGTGCTAGTTATGCGCATACATTCCTTGTTGTTGTTAGATGCCATTAAGACATCTACAACTCACAGCAACCCTATAAACAACAGATCTGAACCATGCCCTTGATGATTGCATAGATCTCAATCAAGCCTCAAAACTGCCTTCTGAATCCTCGTCTTCATTATGTGGATGTGGATGAGGAACCGAGGCATGAAGCTACTTGTGCAAGGTTCCATTTACAACTAGTAAATGTTTCCATTGCACAGCATGAATTCAGACTCAGGGTTTCATAGTCTGTGGCCAAAGTTCAATGCCTTTCATGGCCCTGGCCATTCTAAGTCTGCTACATTCACCACCATTGATCCTGATGCTGGGACTACAGGACAGAGCAGAACTGTCCCTCAGGACATTTATGGCTATGATTTTACTGAAAACACAGTCTCATCTTTCTCCTGTAGAGCAGCTGGTGGGTTTCAACTTTTGGCTTTACTATGTTTTACTCACTCAATTGCTGTTAAGTCAGAACCAATTTGTAGCTGAACCTCCATGGACATCTGAGGTTATAAATTATACTGGAAGAAATTGAGAATTGTTTCCCTTAAAGCTGCCAGTGGATTCAAACTAGCAGAGAAGGATGGCTTTTAGGTTACCAGTGCAGCTCCCTGTGGACTAGGCCACCAGAGACCTTCACTGTATTCCACGTGGCCGAAGGTGACCCAGCATAAGCTGGGGAGAAGCTCAGAATCATAGACAGAACACACGGCAGACTGCCAACAGTGTAGGACTAATTGTCGTTCTGGATGGTGATGACAGCTATACAGAGGAGCCCACTGTCCCCTGATGGCACAATTACAGCCCATTACTCCCCAATGCAGCCCCACCCTTCCTGTGACTGGTATCTACAACTCCACTCCCAAGTGGAAGCCAAGCGGAATGTTTCTTTCTTGGATGGAAACACTCTGTAGCAGTGGGCCACTCCCAGAAGATGAGAACCTTGAACCCAGGCTCTGATCCCATTAGCTCAGCTCAGTCATGGATCCCATCTCTACCCCGCAAAGTGCCATTGCCATGTCTACTGTAGAAAGTTAGAAAGAAATGAGAACATGTCCAAGAAAGGCCAATGCAAACCATTCAACACCAAACAAGGAAACCATGGTATATGTGTCTCACGGTTTGGGGCTGCTACCGACAGCAAATGAAAGCTCTGAATGTAGGAATAGAGTCTAGTTTGTAACCAAGGCCATGAAGGTACAAGTGAACTGAATATGGCCTGTGAACTCATCCTGTTAGCTATGCATAGATAGACACCCTGCAGACAGGACAGAGAAACTCCAGGTGGTACAGGAGGTCAGAAGGGGCCAGCTGACCACGTGCAGCTCAGATGCCATAACTTCACAGCCTTCCTCACACAGATGAAAAGAACTGGAACTCTTCTACTTTTCATCACAGACCACTGTGATTGTGCGGTCGCATTGATTTCAAATGGAGTCCAGAAGGTTAGTGGGCCTTCTCTCTCTAAACACACAGTACCTTGTGTTCAGGGAAGCACAGGCCCTTAACGGTTCTGAGTCATTGATGACAAGAATAGATTATACACTATTTATTGAGCTGAGCCAGTGCAAGGACAGTGCTGAGCATGATACCGAGATCCCATGCTGTCAGAAAGAGCCCATCCTCAGGAAAAGACCTCATGCTGGGAAAGGTGGAGCATCAGTGATAAACAGGAAGACGTCCAACACGATGGATTGACACAGTGATTACTGCAATGGGCTCAAGTGTATCCAAGATGGTGAGGACAGCATAGGCTAGGATACAAGTTTATAGGGTGAGTTGTACCCAACTTGACAACACCTAACAACAATAATGGCAAGACCCTGTTAGGTAGATAATGCTTTGCATCCACTTACATGAGTTTAAGAGTTGGGCTGTCCAAGAGGTACAGATTAGACAGATTCCACCAGGCACTCTGGGGGAGAAAGACAGCCAATCTCCTTCTGTAAGAAATCAGCGAAGGGCTCGACATGGTGCTCTTGGTTTAGTTTTGGACACACAAGGACATAGAGGTTCAGGAAGCCATAGTCCAGGTCACACAGCACAGGAGATTCAGACCTGGGTCATAGGAGCTCTGAGCCTGAGCTTTGAACCTCACCCTGAGCTGATAGTTGTGATCCTGTCCTGGGCACTGGGCACATGCCCACACACACAGAGAGTGCCTCCATACACAGATTGACCCTTCTAATAAGCCCAGCGAGACCCTGGAAGTGTGAAGGGTTGATGAGGCCCTGGCTGTGAGCGATCACTGCCTTCTGATCACTGGGCTTGGTGAATACAGGTCTCACTCTTGCTTACTTGCCTTTCTGTCCCTAGCCTACACCCTGGCCTTGGTGGACCCCAGCTGTGTGGAGCACTGACCAGGACTTGCCACACATGCTGCCTCACTGGACTCTGTTGATCATCTCAAAAGGCCAGTGGTCAGTTCCTCAGAGGGGTCTGCCGTTTCCAGAACAATAACAAGTAAACTTTGACCAGCAAGGGCTAACTTCTACTTAGGAGGCTACGCACCTCACTTGTCAGGTCCTGTCACTGGTAGGCCTGGTCACACTCTGCCAAACTTGCCAGCATTGAGTGTTCTGGGCATGAAACCAAATCAACTGCAGGCCAGTGGGCAGTTTAGGGGAACGATTTCCAGAGGGCTTAGTCAGAGCCACATGCAGACTCCCAGCACGCTCCAATGTGGTGCACTGCTTCCTCCCAAAGCCAAGATTCATGTCCTTACCCATGATGGGGACAGGGGAACCAGGACAAGTGACAGGGACGGGGGATGGGAGACATAGGACCTCCAACAGCCTGTTGTTTGGTGGGCTACTCAAAAGACATTTCCCAGAAGTAAAGAAGTGTCTGCAGGACCCTGGCATGGATTAAGGGGGCAGGAAAGTCTGACAGGATCCCTGTAACCTTCTCATTGCAGGTCCTCCAGGCATGTCCATGCAGGACTCAGGACAGTGTGTTTCTGTTCCTTTCTTCATCTCCCTCTTCTCTCCTCCCTCTTCCCTCTCTCCTTCCTATCTTCCTGCCTCCATTTCTCCCAGTTTCAAGTTTGAAGCCAAAGTTGTTTCAGCCTTGGGGCTTCCTAAACTGTTGGGATAATGGGACAATGCCTTCCTGTCCAACATGAGGGCTCAGCCTCCAGTGCCATATCAGCCAGTCTAATCTGAGAGTGCTGTGCTGTTCATAGGATTTTCAAAGGCCTGTTATTTTAGAGCCTTAGCCTCTCCCCAAGCACTATTTGCTGTTCCCACACAATCTGGGCTTGGTTCTTGCCTGCACTGCCATTTCCAAATTCTGCTCACAGCTCTTGCAAAGTCTGAGACAGACTCCAGAGCCACAAGCGGTGCCAGTCTCACCTGCAAAATGTGCTGCAAGTAGGAGCCACAGCAGAGGCTGCATCTTGAAGAGCAAGCAGGGACACCTGTGAGCCACTCGCCTCCCGTAGAGATGGGCAAGAGGATGGCAGTGGCCTCTGAAGCAGGAGAAGGCGCTGGGCGGGGCCAGAGGGTGAGATCTGGGCTACGCCCAAATGTGGGCCTTCAAGCCCACTTCCTCCTAGATCTTGGTAGGACTCCCTAGGACCACCTGCAGCCTGGTGACACTGATGAGGCCAAGAACCTGCGGCAGGCTGTGACCTCCACCTGTGTGGGTATGGAGGGGACCAGGGGCAGCCCCTCATGACAGCTGAGGGGCTGGGTGGGGAGACTTCAGGAGTAACGGGGAGAGCCCGCCTTAACTGGCCTCTCTGTCTTCAGTAGTTACTGAGGGTATCCTGCATGCCACAGTCCAGGTTGGTGGAGGACGAGATGTGCAGGATGAGAGGGAGGCAGTGGGCATGGCCAGATCAAGACCTTCAGAGTCTCTGGGAGCTGAGAAGATCAGAGTGTTCCCCAAATGTGATGATCATGACAATGCACTAATACGGAAATAAACCAGAGGAAGGTCAACAAAATTGCCTATTGTGAGGCCTGTTGAGTGTTTGATGAGCACCTGTGTTTGATACATACATGGGGTGTGTGCATGTGATGTGTGTATGGGTGTATGTGTATGTATGTGTACGTGGGTATGCTAGAGATGTCTGTGGCAGTATGTGGTATGTGGGGAGGTATGCATGCGTGTGGGTGTGTTAATGTGTGCATATGATGTATGTTTATGGTATGTATGTGTGGGTGTGATGGGGTGTTTATGGGTGTGTGTGTGTGGTATGTGATGTCTGTGTTGTGTATGTGCTGTGTGTGGTGAGTATGGTATGTATGTTGAGCATATCTGTGTGGTATGTGATGTGTGCTCTGAGTGTATATGTGCTATGCATGTGCTGCGGGGTGTCAGGGATGTCTGTGGGGGTGGTATGTGATATGTGTGTCTGTGTGTGTGGTATGTATGGTCCTACTCAAGCCCACTCAGTGTGCTCTGTGGGTCCTGGTCCCAGGAGACTCATTGGGCTGGACCAGGCTATGACCATGTCTTCCTGCTCAGGCAGGTTCCCAGAGGAAAGAGGTTCAGAGTCAGGAGGCATTTATGCAGGAAGAGCAAGGTCTGTGCAGGCTGGTGGAGAGGGAGTCTGGGCAAGCTGAAGTGCCAGGATTGGGATGAAGGGAGGGAGCAGGAGGAGGCTGGAGAGGTCAGCATGGACCCAGCCAGAAGACCTTGAGGGTCTCAAGAAACTCAGTTTGTCTCAGGAGTGATGAGGGGTGGGCCCCTGGAGGTTTTAAGCAGGTAGTGCCAAATCCCGTGTTCTCTCCAGCCCACTCTTGCTCTGGCCACTGCGCCCACGCTGTGACAGACACCACTGAGTGGGAGGTTGGAAGGGTGAGGGGTAGAGAAGGAAGCAGGCTATGTTCCAAATGTCAGGCTGCACCATTAGCCCAGCTGGAGGCTGATGTGCCCTCAGTTCTGTCTTTGTTCCCAAGAAGAGAGCTCCAGGTACCTAGAGCTACTGTGCAGGAGCACACCCTCTTCTGTGAGCTCAGTACAAAGTCACTGCCAAGCTGCTTGGGCCCCTGAAGGCCTATAGGTCTGTGGCCACCCTCATACTGAAGGCAGTGTCAGGGACTCTCACCACCCTGATGAGTCTCAACAGAGCCACTTTCCCATTTTATCTCCCACCCTCTGCAAGCTCTGTGGCACCTAAAAACAGTCTATCATTTCTCAGGTAAGTCCTACCCCAAATACACAAGAGGACTCTTCTGGGTCCTGGTGCCTCATGGCAGGAGAGCTGGAGCTCACCAGGGCTCATCAGTGTCATCAGAGCTATGACACTCATAACGGCCAGGCGTGCAGGGGTGGGCACAACATGTGCCTGCTGAGGCAATGTGTCTCCACTAACACACAGACTAAGAAGCAGCAGCCTTGACGCCTGTGCGCCCTGTCACGTTCTCTGTCCCCATCTTCTTTCCACCTCATTTACCTCAGCTGGCAATCCCAAGTGAGGAAAGCAGAGGGTGGCCTGGGGATAAATAACAGAACTCACCCCTGGGAACGTTTTGGCCATTTGCTCAAATCCTCAGGCCTTGGTTGCCTAAATGGTATTGGAAAATAATGACCCCAGTCTAGTGGGGATTTGACTACTATATAGCTTTAGGTGTGGCACGGGCCTGGTGAGTCTGTCCTCAGAGGCAGGCAGTAGACCTAATTCTGAGGTGCACTGCCCACGTACTCACATAGGCGAGGAGCAGTACCGGCCTTTTGACTACAGAGAGTGTGTCCTAGTACCTGTAAGAAGGTATTGTCATCCCTCTGGAGCAGTTTGCCTGGAAGTCACCCCTGGAGCTGCTGCATGGTGTCCTCTGTCTAGGAGTGCTGCAGCCAGCACCAGACAGCAGGGCCACTGCAGGTGTTAGGATCTCTGGTGTTTTAAATAGCGTGCACATTTAGGAGGAGGGTGTATCACTGACTCAAATGAAATGGGTCTGATCCTGTCTGGGGGTGCTTACTCCTTAGTCACACAAATTCCGATTCTTATTCTCCTTCCCTCCATCAAAGCTCACCTCCGCTATCATGGGTTCCCATGCCTTCCAGAGGCACTGCAGTCCTGGAGGCTGACCCCAGCCCCTGAGGATCCAGAGTCTTCACCCCGAGTCAGAACAGGGTGAGTGGATTCCACTCCCCCAATCACCTAAGAGTCCTGGGGATGTATCAGAGGCTGAGTGTCCTACCAGGAATAGTCCCCCTAACCTCCTCACACAATCAGATTAAATCCTTCTTCTGTTCCCAATGTCTGTGTGGGAGCGTGTATGCTCCTATACTGCCAGCCCCCAACCTGCTTCTCAAAGGCCCTACCCAGTTGTCACCCAACCTAGTCTCTCCACTGCCCTACAGGCTGGGATACCAGAGAGGCCCTCTGGAGACCATTCTCATGTTCTGCTCATTGAATATTCAGAATGTCAGCAGCCACCTGAGACCACTGGGATTGGACAGCAGGAAGAATGGGGAGAAAAATGAAACAAAACTAGTAAAAAGCACAACTTAATACTTTCTACATGTACAATTCAGTGGCATTGATTACATTCTTCAAGTTGTACGCCATTGTTACTGGCTTTCTGAGTGGTTCCTCCTTCGTTAACATAAACTCAGTGCTGGGGAGGAGAGCAATGGGGAAAAGCTACAGTACTACAAGTGAAAGGGGAGAACAAGCATTTAATATTTTCTCAGCAGACAACAGTGTTGCGTTTCAGGGGCCCAAGTGGGCTGGGTTAGGGACCTCATGTCTTCAGCTCCTCCTCTTCTCCCCTCAAGCTGTGCTCCCAGTCCTCAACACTTTATGTGGCCCCAGAACTCTCTGCTTAGACCCCAAATTCTATTCCTGAGGTTGCCTTAGGCACAAATGTGTGCTGTCTTACTGGCCTTTCCTCAGAATATGGAACATTGCTATTATTAGTACTACTGTCAAGTTAGCACCCAATTTCCAGGAACCCTTTGAGTTACCAAGAACCATGTACTCTGGGGCTTTCTGGATTGTAATCTTGAGCAACATAACACCAAGCTGTTTCCTTATGGGGCCACTAGATGGATTTGAAACCAACCTTAATATTAGCAGACATATGCAAACCATTGTATCGCTCAGGCACTTGCTATTGTTGATAGGTATCATGTCCACTACAACTCATGACAACCCTATCTGAATTGTAGCTTATTCTGCACCATCCTTACCGTCCCTGGTATACTCAAGTCTATTGTTGCAGTCACTGTGTCAATACATATTGTTGACCTTTACCTATCCTGGCATGGCTTCAAGACTGGCCCGTCCTGACAATCTGCCCAAAGTATGTGAGATGAAGTTTCAACTTTCTTAACTCTAAGGAGCGCCCTGGCTGTACTTCTGCCAAGCAGACCTGTTTGTTCTCTTGGCAGTCCATGGGATATTCAGTATTCCTCTCCAACACCACAATTCAAAGGCATCGATTCTTCGTTTTTCATCAGGGACTTTGGTTATTGTTATGTATCACTGAGTTGACTCCAACTCCTAGTGGCCCTGTGAACAACAGATCGGAACTTTGTCCTATCCTGTGCCACCCTCACCATTGTTACAGTCACGGTGTCAATCTTTCTTGTGTCTTCCTCTCTGATGCTGACCCTTCAGCTTGTTGTAATGTGCCATTAAGTTGCCTGCGACCCTAAGCCAATCTCATTGTCTCTGACATACCTGCTCCCATTTATCGCAGTCACTGAATCAATCCATCTCATCCAGTGTCTTCCTCTCTTGCACCGTCTGTCCACCCTTCCAAGCAGAATATCCCTCTCTAAAGACTGGTCCCTCCTGGCAACATACCCAAAGTATGTCAGATGGAGCTTCAAAATCCTTGCTTCCAAGGAGCAACTTGGTTTCACGCTTTCCAGGGCAAAACTATTCTCTTAGCAGGTATATTCAACACTCTTCTCCAGCACCACTACTCAAAAGCATGGATTCTTTTTCTATCATACTTAGTCATTGTCAAGCTCTCTGATATACAGCAAGAAATTGTGAAGACCACGGCCTAGATCAGCCACACTTTAGTCTCTAGCCTGACATCATTGCTCTTCAGTACTCTGGTGGGTTCCCTGACAGTAAATTTTCCCAATGCAATTTGTCTTTTGATTTCCTGGCTGCTGGTACCAAGAATGTTGATTGTGGAATCACACAAGCTGAAATTTTTTTTTCAAGCTGAAATTTTTAATAATCTCAAATTCTTCTCTGTCAGTTATGATGCTGCCAAATGGCCCAGTGGTAAGAATCTTTGTTTTCTTGATGTTGAGCTTCAATCCACGTTGCTGGCTGTAGTCCTTGACCTTCTGCAACAAATGCTTCATGTCCTCCTCAATTTCAGAAACAAGAGTTTGTCATCTGCATAATGTAGGTTGTTGATGAGTCTCCCTCCAAGCCTGATGCCACATTCCACCTCTATGAGGAAGCCCAGGCTTCC